GATCTACCTTAAAGAATAGGGAGTCTTAAGTAAAATCCAAGATCATCAACATTAGGAATGTGCAAGTAATTATAGACAACATTTCTAATTTCCACAGATGCATTAGCAGAAAAGAAAATTGAGCATTTATCAAAGTTGATTCGTTGACCTAAAGCATTACAATAAGTTGTGAGAAGCTCCTTCATAGTGCTATAATTCCTTCAAGAGGCATTAAGAAACAAAATAGTATCATCTGTAAAGAGACAATGAGTAATCATGGGGTAGCCTTCAGTAATTTTTATACCTTGTAAATCTCCATTTTTAACATGAAAGTTCAGCATGCGAGAAAAAACATCACTAGCAAGTATGAATAGATAAGGGAAGAGGGGGTCCCTTTGTCTGACACCTCTTCCTGGAGCGATTTAGGCCATTGATTTACTAGCAATTTGAATATTAAAATTACAAAATCCAATCTTTCTCATTACTTCTTCAATGAAATTCCATTCAAGCTTGTTAAAAGCTTTATTCATGTCTATTTTGAGGGCAAAATCAAAGTCATTACTAGTTTTCTTTCTCTTTAAGTAGTGAAAATATTGTCCTGTATAAGGTGATTTGGAACAAATGCACACTACTGGCGTAAGATACAATAATAAAGAACAACTTTTAGTTTATTAGCAAGTAACTTTGAGATCAACTTATAGGTAAAATTGTATAAACTAATAGGCCTAAACTGGCTATTAGACTCAAGTCTATCTACTTTTAGAATTAAAATCAAATTAGTATCATTCAACTTGCCCAAATAGGTATCACCCGATAGAAAATTATTAACCAAAGAAAAGAGAGTGTGGTGTACCTCTATCCAGGTATTTTGGTAAAAATGCCCATTGAAACCATCAGGACCAGGAGCTTTGTAGCAGCCAAGTTAAAACACAGCTTGTTTAATTTCATCTAAATTAGCAGGGAAAGTAATCCATTTATTTGGAATATCATTAATATAGGGTGATACATAATTCAATACCAATTGAAGATCTGAGATGTTACCCTTAGCAAATAATTCAATATAAAATTCAACAGCTACACAAGTAATATCAGTTTCAGGTTCAATCCAAGAGCCATCAGGTTTTTTCAGCTTAACAATTTGATTCCTTTGACTTCTAGCCACAGTCAACGAGTAGAAAAAATGAGTATTCATATCACCCCCATTGAGCTAATTCACACGAGATCTTTGCCACCAATAGGATTCTTCACATTTCTATAAGTGCTCTAAATCAGCAGCGAGGGAAATCACTTGGTTTCAGCATTCCTTGATAAATGCACCAGCTTTAAGAAACTCAATTTGCCTCAAAGCAATCTCAATGGCTCTCTTAAAATTAGGGAAATTAGTATGACTCCAATAAGATAGGGCAGAACTACAATGAATTATGCAAAAGATAAAGTAATCAATAATGAGTAAATGGTACGTTAATTGTGCTTATTTTAAAGAATAACCCTTCAGAGATGGTTAGAGATTTGAGACCGATTAGTCTTTGTAATGTTATTTATAAAGTTATTACAAAAGTAGTCTCTAAGAGGATTAGATCTTTCCTTCCTCACATTATAACTCCTAACCAATGTAGTTTCATTTTGAGTCCTCATAGTTCTGATAATATCATAGTTGCATAAGCAATAATTTACTCCATGTGGAATTTTCAAAAGAAGAAAGTTTTTATGGCTATTAAGATTGACCTTGAGAAGGTCTATGATCGTGTTAATTAGAATTTCATGGCTAGTTGTTTAAAGGAATTAAATTTGGCACCCAACCTTGTAGAGTTAATTTCTACTGCCATTTCATTTGTGAATACGCAATTACTTTAGAATGGGTTCAAGGCTGAGAATTTCAATCCAATTATAGGGGTTAGATAGGGTAATCCCATGTCCTCATATCTCTTTGTTATATGTATGGAGAAGCTTGCTCATCTTATTCAAGAACATGTGAATGATGGAAAATGGTAGCCTATCTGTCTTAACAAGAATGGCTCTCCAATATGGCATTTATTTTTTGCCAGTGATGTCATCCTTTTTTCTAAGGCTTCTATGCAATAAGCCTGAGTTATTAAGCAAATCCTTCAGGTTTTTTTGTTTTCCTTTATATGAAGGTTAACTCTAATAAAACTTAATCTTGCTTCTTTGAGAATGTTAGTACAAATAAATGTAATGAGATTAGTCAGTTTATGGAGTTCACGTTATCTACAGACTTGGGGAAGTATCTTAGGGTACCTTTAATGCACAAGAGAGTAAGGAAGGAAACTTTCCATAAAACTGTGGATAAAGTTAAAACAGACTTATGAATTAGAAGCCTAATAAATTTTCTTTTATAAGACATACCATTCCGACGACACCTATGACTTAGGCCATTCCTAGTCATGTCATGCAAACCACACTTCTCCCTACTAGCACTTGACCGTCGATAAGTGTAATAGAGACTTCTTATAAGGGAGCTCAGACAAGAAAAAGAAGATCCACTTATTAGCTTGGGATGACATTTGTAAACCAAATAAAAATAGGGGGTTGGAACTGAGACACTCAGAAAACCATAATCAAGCGCTTCTTATGAAACTTAAATGGGGTCTTATTAAGCGAAGAGATGATTTGTGGATCTAAATTGTCCGCAACGAATATAATTGTAGCAACGATTTAATGCCATGTATTAATATGAAATGACTGAGATTAAATGTCTGGGCTGGGATCAAAGGCACCTGGGAAAAAGGAGGGATGGTGTTAAAAGGATTAATCATGGTACGGGGGCTAGATGGCATTGGACAAAGATTGGAGACTTCTCGATGAAATCTACATATGAAGTAATCTCCAATACTGAATCTTGACCAGACAGATTTTAGGAAAAACTTTAAAAGGTGAAAGCCCCCCAACGATGCAAATTGTTCTTGTGGATGGTGTCTCAGAATAGCATACTAACCAATCACTTAAGGAAACGAAGAGGTCTTTGTCAGGAGGACAAATGTGCTATCTGCGGTACGTAAACTGAGGACATGCTTCATGTTTTTTATGACTGTGCTCAAAGCAAAGCTCTGTGGCAGTAATTGGTCCCACCCGAAACATGGAGTCAATTTTTCAATATTAACCTCAGTAACTGGATGGGGTGGAGCATGTGTGATAGGGCTACTGAAGACACTATAGTCTGGAATGCATTATTCAGCATTCTCTTTGGGAATTGTGGAAGCGACACAGTTTGTTTATCTTTGAGGGTGAGCTTGCACCTATCTTGAAATTTTGACACTAGCACATACTTGTTTAAGTAGCTTGAAGAAGGTGCAAGGTGAGATTAACTTCAAGAAAGTAACTGGTATACAATCTACAAACCGGTGGGAATGCTTGTTGGATGGTTGGGTCAAATTGAATGTTGATTGAGCTTGTTCTTCTACAACAAGGGTGGCTTTCAATGGTGGTCTCCTTCGTGATGATAAGGAACATTTTATCTTTGGGTTTGTTTACCGTCTAACTAGGGGCGATAATTTCTCAGCAAAGATTACCGCTCATGTTCATGGGTTGAAAATGGCTTGGGATTTAGGATTTCACAAAGTCATTCTTGAGTCAGATTCTACAGAGGCACTGGAGAGTTTATCTAGTGAAACTAACATGGAGCATGAAGATCTTGATGCCATTGCTACTGCTAAATCTTTGTTGGTCCAAAGATGGGGTGTGAAAATGAGGCATGTTACTGGGAATAAAGCGATGGATTTTCTTGCTAAATGGGGAGTTTCATTTCTACTAGGTTTTCATGCCATTCATCAAGCTCCCAAGGATCTTTAGAGGATGATGCAACGTGATTGTATTGGCCTTCATGCTCTGATTTGGTACTAACAGGTTCTAGTTTTCCTTGTGGGTGTGTGTGTGTGTGTGTGAAAATACAATGGTCACCGTTGATACGAGAGGTGGCGCCCGTTAAAGCTATTGGGAAGCTTTAGCCGAAGAAGCTGCTCTCTAGCCTCTGCGGCTATTAAAAGTAGAGACCGCAGAACTAACAGCTGCCACTAATTGAATTGGATTCGCTATTCAAGCCTCTTCCTACCACACCAAATTTTAATGTACAAAGTGGGTGGCCTCACCTGCTCCTTTCCCTTCCCCAAAAGCTATCATGGTAATGCAGTCACCGTCTGGTTATAAGCTGCCCCTATCAATTCCTTCACACGAAACATAGCCCTCTTCACGTGTCCATGTTTTTGTCATTTTATATTTTCCAGACCATCAATTATGGGTTCCTCACAAACAGAAACTCCTTAAATGCGGTCAAAATTCATAAAAACCAACCTCACATAAAAAAAAAAAAAGTCAGATTCCACTTATCATGTTCGGAGTCTTTGTTGTGATAACTAACGTCACGTGTGTGATAATATTAATAATAATTATATACTCTTGGTTTTTTTAATGGCAACAAATTAAATTAAGTAGGACCTAAAGTCACGACTCTCAATCAAAAAGGAGAAGCATGTGAATGTGAATGCGATTTGAATGGTAAAAAGGAAGGAGAGAAGTCAGAGGTGGTTGGCGTGAAGGGGATGGAAATGCAGAGCGTACCCTCATTTTCACTCTGTGCTGTCTCGTTAACGCCTTTACTTTGTTAGGGAAAGAAAATAAAAACACGGAGGCAAGGGGCCAAACAGAAACAGCCTACCTGTGGCCTTTGCTCTTTAGCTCTGACCGTCTCACAAGGAAGTTCTGTTACGTTAGATTGTATTTTAAAAGTAATTCTTACTCATTCCATTTTCATATTTAAATATTACGAATGAATGCTTTCACGCCTCCGGACCAGCTTGAATTAAATTAGATAGTATAGCATGTGCCTCACTCTTCAATAAAATCTCATATGCCCATTTTGTGAATAGCATGTCAAATCTAAATTAATTGACAACGAAAATATTTCGGTTCATCCGTTACCAAAAATAAATAAAACAAACTTAAATGAGATCATCATTATCAGTGCATGATAATTTCTCCACTTTCCTTTTTGACCATAGTTCTGGGCTAACGTATTTGACCATAGATTAAAAATTGCATCCCCTGATTTTGTACCTCCATTATCTCTGTTTTCATGTCTCCCATCAATAGGCTCTGGCAAAAAAGAGGCGCTGCCTTCTACCCCTTACGTTTTTCTGGGGCTGTTCTCTGCGTCTTTTGCTTCCCCAACTAATAAATCAATAGAAACAGCTATCCCTGGGAGCACAGGCTAGAGCTTGCTTGCTTTATTCCCCGAGTTTCATCCTCTGATTTTTTAGTAGATCAGGATTTTTTTTGCTTTCATCTGGTAAGCCTTCAAGGCATTTCCCAAGTTCTTGTTTTTGTTTTCATCTCATGGTTTGATCGGTCGGTGAAATGGTAGGATTCAAATATCATCAAGTTTGATTCTTCCGGTAGTTTTCAGTATTTTTAGGGTTTAATTAACGTTTCAAATTTTGTGGTGCTGTGTGGGTTGCTATTGAATCTTTCACGCTGCCATATTCGTAATCGGTTTCATACATTGAACTTTGTGGCGTTTATTTTTAGTCTTGGTTGTTGCTAGGACCTTCTGTTCAGCCTGGTCTTGAAAGGATTAAACTCAGTTGTTGTTGGTCAAGCTGATCTTGGGAGGAAACTCAAATCTGTTTTTTACTTCTCGGAAAGGAGTTAACTTTATTGTTTGCCTGCCATTTTGTTTCTTTCTTGAATAATTTTCGATGACTTTAATCAAAAGGCAATACTGCATTAGTAGAATTTATTTACACGCTCGAACTTATACTTGTTAATTCCTCGTTGTAATGCGTGGAAATGAAAATGCATACAAGTGCTGCATCATGTGGCTATAAACGTCATTGACCTAATCATATTGGCTTTATTTATGGCTACGAGTTTTGTAATTTAAGAGATGTCCACTTTATCAATTGGTAGCACGATGTTTTGGCGGCATTTAAGCTACTTTGCAGTCGATATTTGACATTTTACCGAAGCAGACACAGATTTATTCTGATATGGATGTATACCCTATCTCTGGTTGTCTCGACCTTGCTGCAGTTGCTTTAATAAAATAAACCTGCTTGATTGGAATGATAAAAGTTTTGTTGTGTTAGTGCATGAGACTGAGCTGCTAGTGCTTGCTGCGTTCATGTCATTATCATGATATCTACTTTTATCATGTCAGTATGGAATTGTGAAGAAGTTTGGAACTAAATCATTGTAATAAGTGAGAACCACTTGCAATTTTTTAGACCTTTATATTTGGTTGGAAGGGAGGGAGGGGGAGGGGTGGAAGGGGAGGGAACCCTCCAATTGGGGGGGGGGGGGAGGTTTTGGAGGGGAGGGGAGGGGCAGGCCTACAACATTCAGGAATGCTCTTAGATATTAATAAACACAATAATAAATATTTTTATAGGTTTTTGAAGCCTCATGGTGCAGGACAACCAAATGGTACTGTTTGATGTGACTTGAAACATTTACTTAGTCATGGAACTGTTTGAGGCAAGCCTGTTCTTTTTGCCCACTGATCACTTTCTCTTTGTTGCAGGGATTTTTTGAAACACAGAGTGACATGACGCTCTATTGAGGAATTCTTTTTATACATTCCTTAACGTCTAAACAGGGAAACTTACAAATCCTCCCGATGCAAGGGACAAGGGGTAGAATAGGTTCCTTGGCTGAAACCTTGGAATTTGATTGTGGATCTACTTCAAGTAATGCTACCGTGGATCAGCAGATTTGCTGGGATGGCACGAGGAACCCTTTAGAAAATCAAAGCCCTCAAATTATGCTTTCACCTGGTGATGTGAACCCATTGTATGCAAATTCAATTAACCATGAATGGAAGAGCGTCAATAATTGGAGAATTGGTGAGCCAGGTTCCAGTGATTCACATATTGAAATTAACAATGACGAGCAGAAAAGAGAACTTGGATGGTCATCTTCAACGAGTGCTGGTGCTGGATCAAGATTAGGGTGGCAGTTTGAATCAACCAATTTACCTTCATTGGACAATGTCAATACAAGTCCTACGTGTATGAACAACTCCAATCCTCATTCTGTATCACAGAATCTCAACCTAAATGCCAGTTTGGCAGATGCCGGCTTTAATATGGGGCAGCATCTTGAGCATCCTAGCTTGAACAAACCAAGTGGATCAGTAAATGAGCCTATCCCACCTACTGTTGGTCCTGCGCCCTTTGCTCATCCTTCTGGAAGTAACATGGTAGATAATAGTAGTGGTAGGCTGGGGTATTCTACTGATGCCCAGCGTGTATCCTGTAAAAGAAAGGCTGTTGAAGGATATGTTGGACAATCTTCAGAAGGTGAAAGTTCTAGCCGCAGCCAGTACACAGAAAACTGTGCTTGGCATACACTTCCTACTCAGAGTAATTCTTGGAGCAGTTTAAGCAGATCTGCTACATCAGCATTGATAAGTTCAAGACCTGGCCGGGATGTGGGTGATGAATCTTCAGAGAGCATTGATAATTTGAATGTTGCAAGAAGCTCAAATAGCTTCCTGAGGAATTCTCGCTTGAGGATAAATCCTTCAAATCAACAGGATTCCATTCCTTTTGTTGCATTCTCCAATGACAGTGTGACTAGACGTTCTACAATTCCTTCATGTTCTCCTATGACACAAAGTTTTTGTCCTGTTGATGGCTCTATGGATTTGAGGTCAGCGCCATCTGCAGATATCGTTCCACAAAGCCAGCCCTTTGGAACCAGTTCTCCTTTACGCAGGAATATGCCATCATTTAGATGGAGTGGAAGCTCTAACTCAAGAAACAGCCATTTGTCAAACTCAATGATTTGGCCAGACAGGGATACTCAACTATATGAAGAAGGAAGCTCAAGAAGCATGTCTAGAAGCATAAATGATCCAATGTTTGTTCCAGTGGCTGATTTAAGAAATTCGGTTCGGAGTCCAACCAATAGAGCTTCAAGTAGTGCAAATTTAAATATATCAGGAAATGTTACTTCCTCACCGCATACTGGATTGAGTTCAGCCTTCAATTTACCATCTATTCCATCCTGGGTTTCTCGTCCCAATCCTCTACATCATCCACGGAGGTTATCTGATTATGTTCATCGATCATTGTTGTCATCTGTTTCTGAGGCTGCTGGAGGTTTCAGCAATAGCAATTCTTTCTTGCGCTCTGCTCCTATCACTTTATCTGAAGCAAGGGCACCATCATCTCGAGCTGGAAGTCAAGGACGTCATCAATCGCACTCAATATCACCATGGGTGGAGAGGCGAGGTGATAGCAACTTCAGGCTTCCCTATTCATTGCAAACTCTGGCTGTTGCCAGTGAAGGAAGTGGTAGACTTGGATCTGAGGTCTGTATTCAATTAACTATTTTCTTGCTTTTATATAGTTATGTTAGAATGCCTAGTATACACCAACACACACAAACATCCCCAAGAGCTAGAGACAATTAAACGAGGAAGGATTTTTGGTTTTGAAATACTCCAAATATAAGATAGCACAGTATGAGTTCTACAAGAAGTTTAGGCACTGGTATAAGTCAAAACCCAGCACCAATTACCCCACAGAGAAACTGACCAAGAATGGGAAAGACACAACCGGCTTTCCTGAGGCAAGCGTGCACCACCCTTTTTTTCTCCCACAAATGTCATGTCTTCTCTCTGATGCTGAATTACTCATAAAACCCCCTTCAAACCGCTCACTACTATGGCAGCTTAAATTGCTCATCTGGTCTCCCTTTTCCCTTGCTCTTTTGGTTACATATAGTAGCACTATCCCTTGGTCCAGTGGTTACCGCTTCCTCAGAATTGTTACTTCCCTTTTGGCCACCTGCTACACAAGTTTTTTGTGTTAATCCCATCAAGTTATATTTCGTGTTATTGGAGGGCATGCTTGTTATTAATGAATATCTCAAGCATATGGATGCACCTGGTTGATGATAGCAACCCCTTTTTTATGGTATTCAAATTTACGTTCCAGAAATTGTGTATGGAGAAACTGACCTACATAAAAACTGGTTTTCAATTTTGCATTTCACTCACATCGTATACTCACCAGTTCAGACTTAGGACTTCCTTTACTCAGCCAATACATGTTATTCCTTTATAATTAATCAATGAGTTTGTACTTGTGCATGCTAGTTTTGAGCTTGTTTTCTCATCATTTTAAACTTGTCAACAGTTTTTTGGATCGTGGACTATGCATTGGATAAACTCCGAAATGAATGAGACAGTGTTTGAAGCTTACAGTTAATAATATTTTCAGAATCTGAACAAATTAACATAATTGAAGTTGTGGTATTGTGGTCAGGCCCACTGGGAAATGAAAGACATTATTTTCGCATTCTGCCTGCTTCAGGCATTTTTTTTAACAAACTATTCTGTTAGCCTTGACACTTTCTTTTTCCTTTTGTTGCACAGCTCCGCAGTGTTCTGGGCCTCATGTGTAGGGGACAGAACATTCGGTTTGAGGTTAGTTTTCCTGAATTAATGGTATAAATGGATGCAAAATTGATTTGATTTTTCCTCAATTCCAACTAAAAGACATGTTTCCTAGCATTTATTATTGAATTTTTAATTTGGTCTTAACTGACCTACAAAATCAGATTTACTTACTTTCACTTCTGATCAGACTTGCAATTGGATTTTCGAAGTTATACTTTAATAGCTGGCACACTTTGGGTCTGTTTTGATTGAGGGGAATTACCTCTGCGTTCAAATCCTGCTTCTTCCCTGAGTGCATGAATATTTATCCTTCAATGATCTGAATTTGTTTTTGACTAGCCCTGTGTGTACTTTGCTAGCCAACTTATATGCTTTCGTTTTGTGATAGGATTTTATGATCTTTGACCATTCAGTATTTTCTGGAATGGCTGATATTCATGACCGACATAGGGACATGCGACTTGATGTTGATAACATGTCTTACGAGGTAGAAGAAATTCCAAATTTTGATGCCCATGCTTATTCTCTTTACTGCGCCCCCCCCCCCCCAAAAAAAAAAAGGAAAAACAAGAAGAAGAAGAAGAAAGTTGATGTTTCATCTGGTGAATTTCTTGTTATATAACCTACACGAATGTTATAGGAGTTATTGGCCCTGGAAGAACGGATTGGAAATGTGAGTACTGGATTGAGCGAGGAAACTGTATTGAAACTAATGAAACGGAGGAAGTATTCAGTTGAAGAAGGGTCTCAATGCGAGGCAGAACCCTGCTGTATTTGTCAGGTAATTCTGAGTGACTGGCTTCTCGCGCTTTACCTTCTCCGTGTGTATAATACGCTGCAGCATATGGTTCCTATAACTTGTGTGCAGGAAGAGTTTGACAACGGGGATGATGTTGGAACGCTTGATTGTGGCCATGACTACCATACGAACTGCATCAAACAGTGGCTAATGCAGAAGAATCTGTGCCCCATTTGTAAGACAACAGGCTTGGCAACTTGAGATTTGTTCCTTGATCCTCAACCATTTTATTCTACCTCCGAAGATGGAGATGAAAAGGAAGATGAAGATGAAGCGAACTGGCACAGTTACCTAGGAAATTTTGTTTAGCTGAAGCGAGAACCTGCTGCTTCTATTGCTTCATTCACTATGTGTAGCTTAGTCAATGGCATTTCTGTGGCACCTTTTCTGCTTTCAAAAGCCTCCCCTTTATCTGCCCGCCCCTCGATTTCTGGTTATAGTGTATTTGTTTTATATAAATCCAAAGCCAATGATCTCCACATATGATTGATAATTGGCGTTGAAAGATTTGTTGTTAGCCTTGATCTCCAGTCGACGTGCTTGGTTTACAATCTTTTATAAAAGAAATTGTTACCTGGTTCATGAGTCTCCAATTGGGTGTTGCTGGTTAAATTTTGAACGGAAGGGAAAACTAGCAGGAGTTCTGTGTTGTCTAAGAAACATTGTACGCTTTTGTGCTCTTTTGTTTGACAATTTCCATCAACGTTAAATGATTATTCATTTAACAATGGGGTTGTAATTGTGCTGTTCTTGAGTAATTTTCAGCGCCCATGCTCAAGTGAAACCCTCATTTAGCAAGGTTTGACTCGAGGGATGTTTCAAAGTCGAGAAGAAACGGGTGAGATGGCAACGTTTGTGCTTTGGCAGATGTTAATGGGGAGGAGGAATGTGAGAAGGTGGAACTGAAATTTGCTCCCAAGCGATTTTCATTTCTTTGGTTTGGGCATTTTCAGCGGGATGGAAATGAAATGGAATGTCATCTTCGAAATGAGAAGAGAAGTTACCATCTTGCCCTCATTAAATACCCTACTCATTTAATGATTTATTTTGATGCCTGCAGAAGCAGAACTAGTTAGTGCTGGTAACAGTAAAAATGGTTTCACCAGTTCAAAAGGAAAAAAAAAAAAAATTGGCGCTCCCAGTCCCGGACCAGTAATGCACGCATCAACGTCAAAAGCTGCTTTTCTGACTTTGGCCATAGCCACTTTAATCGATGGTTTTTATTCATTCTTTGATGGGTGCAATAACAAACATTTAAAAACCTCGTGTGCAAGTGAAAGTACAATATTTTATATTTTAGTATTATTTTTATTTTATTTGGTTAAATAGAAGTATAATCAAGTCATAAAATTTCGATATATGAATGTGACATTAATTCTCCACCAAAACCTGACCATTTAGAAACGAGAACCGAATGGCGAAGCGCAAGAATAGGAATAATGATTAGGGTGGCATAATATACTGTGCAACATGAACATTGGATAATACGTCACATTCCATAACGAGACTGATTCAAACAATATTTGATTCTAGTGGGTTGAAGTGAGCGTTCCAAATAGGGGTATTCAGTCCGGACCCGTCCCGATTGGCCCGGTATCGTCTCGATCATATCGGGACGGGTCTTGTCCCGGCCCAAAAATAATCGGGACGGGACTTTACGGGACGGGACAGGAAAGAGGTTCGGGACGGGACGGGACACGGGATTACCATCGGGACGTCCCATCCCGTCCCGAATATTATATATATTATTTTTTATTTTAAATATATTAATTATATTAATATAATTTATACTTATATTAATTATATCAATTATAATTTTAATACTTACAATTCTTATTTAAAATTAAAGTTTTTTTATATTGATAATTTTAATGGCATGGAGTAAACATGGCGATATCTTTCTTTATAATATATTAATTATATTAATATAATTTATTCTTATATATTTCTATTTAATAACTTTTATTTACAACGTATTTTTTGCTTATTTTTAGAAGAGTAATTAGCTTAGTACATCTTCACTAAAGTAGAAGAACAATGATTTGATGTTATGTTTGACTTGTCTGTTGTTACTAATCTTATAATATAAAGATTATTTGTATTTATTATTATAATGTGTAGTTATGATTAATATAATTCAATAATTGATTTTAAATTATTGTTATTTATGTACCTGTGTTGTTTTGATTTTAAACTTAATAAATTATATAATTTAAAATTTTAATGAATGTTATTATTCAAATCTTTTTTTGATATTATTCCATTTATCGGGACGGCGGGACATCCCGATCTTGTCCCGGTCCCGTCCCGACTCTTAACGGGACGGGACGACTTTCGGGACGGGACGGAACACGGGACCAAAATTCAGTCCCGATCTTTTTCTCGGGACGGGACACGGGACAGGGGTGTCCCGGTCCCGTCCCATCCCGTGAACACCCCTAGTTCCAAAGGAAGAGTTTTTAAATTAGAAAAATATAACTTTTAATTTTTGTATTTTATTTGAGTTTATTATAAATTTTTGTATTTTTTTATATTTTAAATCTTTACACTGTTATTTTTTGAACATTTTAAATTCCTTTCAAAAATCAAATAAGGTGCAGAGAATTAAAGGTTTTTTTTTTTTTTTACTCCTAAATTTCTACAAATTATTTTAAAGAATCCAAGTTTGGTGTTCGAAGAAAGCAAAAGGGAGAAAGTTGAGACGATTGGATGAAGTGGCGAAAAGGCGGAGGAAAGAGGGATTGGGGCCCACATCCATCTTCTGGTTTTGTTTTGCTTCGGCTGGGGGGCCCACCTGGGGACACGAAGGATAGATAATGTTGATGCTGGTATTCACCCGTGATATGAGCCCAAATCCGACAGCCCGGTTTGAGTTTGACACCCATCCCCCCTTTATTACGACAGATCATGCTGGTCCCACCGTATTATCATCCCTCCTTCCCCTTTTACCTCAACCTGCAAGTTTATGCGTGCAATTTCTATCGTCGACATTTTTTGCAACCTCCACATGTATTGATCTGAAGAATGATATTTATTATCAGGTTAAAAATATATGATTTATTATCATTTTTATATCATTCATTTTGGTGGTCTGACATTTACATATATATATATATATTGATATATAGGATTATTATTAAGTTAATTTCAATAATTTATTTTTTTATTTTTAATAAAAAAAGTAACACCATTCAATAATTAAGAGAAGAGAATTTGGATCTTCCCTAATGATTACTGTGATTTATCCATCCTCATAATTATTTTTTTAAAAAAATGGATCTAAAGAAAAATTAAGGAAACTTCGAATAAAATAAAATAATTCTAAATGCTGGAAGTTATAAATTAAAATTCTGAGCTTTGATCCCCCGAGCAAACATACCAAACGAAAGTAAAATGAACAGTGAACTTCATCGATGTTTTCATTATTTATGACGCATTTATTGTGAAGAGGTATTATAAATTATTAAATTTCATGCTCAGCCAAGAATTCAGGATTTCACTCACAACCAAACCAACACTGGGAAGTCCACAACAAGGGTCAAGCTCCCAATCTTGTTAATTAAATGATCCCGGTGGAGGCACCGGGCAGGCATCTTGACTTTTGCGTCCGCCCTGCATTATAAAATGAATGAAGTAGATGATTCGTAGAGAGGACGACGTTTTTAGAGTTTTATAATATAAAAGGTAGCAGTACTGGTAATAATAGTGCCAACAAGCAGATTGCATGAGCATCCAGACAATCCCCTAATACGGCGCATCGACCTCTATATACAGTGCCTGATGATCCACACATGAAATTAGAAGCAGACAAGGTTATGATGCCTACCGGTGCGCTAGCTGCAAAGTGAAAAATGTCCTTACCCACTACGGACATCATTTTGGAACACGCAGAGGAGAAGTGGCCAAAGAGGGAAAATAGGATAACACTCGCAAGAGGGAAATTTTCTTCTTCTATTATCCAAGTCCCATTATGCCAGCTCCCTCTTCTCTCTCTCCAAACCCCACTCTCCAGTGTATTCTTCCGCTTCCACTCGCTCTCCCTGTCCTTCTAGCCTCTCGCACCACCTTCCTCCTCCTCCTCCTCTTCCTCTGCCTCTTTTGCGACCTGCTTCTGTCAACATGTCTGTGACTGTGTTTGCCGATTAAATTCATGCTCTGAGGAAAGGGAGGGAGGGGAGAGAACAATGACCAACTATGCGTTTCTGAACGATCAGCTGTCTACTCACACCTCGATTTTTGGGTTGCGACTCTGGGTCGTGCTGGGCATATGCGTAGGAGCAGCCATAGTCCTTGTTCTGTTTCTCATATCTCTCTGGTTCACCAAGCGCAACAACCATGCTTCCAACCTCAACTCTTCACACAATCCCATCATTCCGAATGTCTCTAAGGAGATCCAGGAAATCAGGATTGATCCTTCGCGCGACCCGGCTCATGGAAGGTCCGACTCGTGTCTGGAAGCAGAGGCTGAGGTGGATAGGGCCCAGGCCGTGCTTGTTCAGCAGCAGGGCGATGATAGCCAGAGAATTCACATAGAGATTGGCAAAGATCACCGGATTTCGTATCCTGAGAAGGTTGGTGGCTCATCGCATGGAAGTGGTGAGCAGGGTTCGATTTCTGTGCCTGAGGTTTCGCATTTGGGGTGGGGCCACTGGTACACTCTCAGAGAGCTCGAGGTCTCTACCAATGGATTTGCGGATGAGAACGTCATAGGTGAAGGTGGCTACGGAATTGTTTATCGCGGTGTGTTGGAAGATGATACCAAAGTTGCGGTTAAAAATTTGCTCAACAACAGGTAAGCTGTACTTGATTACAATCTTCCTTGTAATATAGTGGAAGTTTATTTTTTATGGACTACATTTGTTCTTCATCTTCCATTAAATGGTTCGCGTACTGATGATGTAGGGGACAAGCTGAGAAGGAATTTAAGGTAGAAGTTGAAGCAATTGGACGTGTTCGGCACAAAAATTTGGTGAGGTTACTTGGATATTGTGTTGAAGGAGCCCATCGGTATGTTTTCCTTGTTCACTATTGACATCTTTGAGTTCCCTTCTAGTTGTCAAAACTTCAAACGATTGCTTTGGATGTCTAAACATTTTGCGCTAATTCACGCATTTGCAGGATGCTTGTGTACGAGTATGTTGGGCCTTCCAGCCCTCTTTCGTGGGAAATTCGCATGAATATAATACTTGGAACTGCAAAAGGGTATGCATTGCTGTGTGAAGTTACTCTTCTGCTCCAAGTTCATTTGTTTTAGATTATTTCTTGTTTTACATGATTGAAAACTGACTACTTTGGAATACGTAGGTTGACATACCTTCATGAGGGACTTGAACCTAAGGTGGTTCACCGTGATATCAAGTCAAGCAACATATTGCTTGATAAGCAATGGAATCCAAAAGTCTCTGATTTTGGCCTTGCAAAGCTCTTGGGATCAGAGAGAAGTTATGTGACAACCCGTGTGATGGGAACATTCGGGTCAGTTGAACCCTTCTTAGAAAGAAAATTTAAAACATAGTCTCTAACAGTGGTGACCTGGACCTCACTGGACAAATGGCTAGCTCTGTTTCACAGGTATGTAGCTCCAGAATATGCAAGTACTGGCATGTTAAACGAAAGAAGTGATGTATACAGCTTCGGTGTTCTTCTCATGGAGATAATTTCTGGAAGAAACCCAGTAGATTACAGCAGGCCTCCTGGAGAGGTTTGTTTGGTGATTTTATTTGAGTATCATGTCAGGAGATCTTCTCAACCTTACTCCGCCCACCTAATGTGCTGTTTCTGATAATAATTGAGTATTCAATTTTACAGGTGAACCTTGTTGAGTGGCTGAAGTCCATGGTTGCTAACCGAAATGCAGAGGCAGTGCTCGATCCTAGGCTACCCGAGAAGCCTTCTTCTAGGGCACTGAAGCGTGCCTTATTAGTAGCCTTGAGATGTGTGGATCCAAATGCCCAGAAAAGACCAAAGATGGGGCATATTATACATATGCTTGAAGCTGATGAGTTCCCTTTTCGAGATGTGAGTTTGTGTACATTTCCGCGAGCACGGCCAATTTTCCATCCACATCTCTGCTACCTTTAATTTCTGTATCACAAATCTTTTCGTGTCTACAAATAAATTGTATGACTTATGAATCTTGTTTGTTTTCTTCCTTAAAAGCGCAGTGCCTAAGTGTGGAAACAGACAAATTGAGATCATTATTGCAGTATGTGACATATTGTCTTCCTCTGTTCAGACTTCATTTTTTATTTCGAATTGGAACTCTTTCAGGACCGAAGAACGGGAAGGGAAAATGGACGCTCCCAGCGGATGAGCACAAGAGATGAGTTGAAGGATAAGCGAGTATGTGAATCAGGTGACAGTAGTGGATATGAAAGCAGTGTCCAAACTAGCAAGTCTATGGGCAGAAACCAAGAAACCGAAGGCCAATAGCAATACTGGAGTTGATGAATAAGGTGAATTGACGCCGTCTTGTGTACCAAATAGAGGTGGCTTGAACATCATTTACTTTCCTGTATATATTATTTGCGCATGCGTGTCTGCTTTTATTTGTAGATTCTGCTGCAATGCTTTTTTTGCCTCTAGGTATAGACTAATATTTCGAGACATTCCAGTTCCTTTGATGTGTTGTCTAAATGTTGTAGGGAACAAAATTCTTTTATTACCTTATTAGACATGTGATTTCCTTTACTTGCTATGAGTTTGTTCTGAAAGCCAGCATTAGCTTGAAATGTATGCTTTTGTGTTTGCAATATGAGCTTCTAAAGATAGGCATGCAGGTACTTGAAAGAAAGAAAAATAAAAGCTCATGATTTCTTAGAAAATGATTTGATATCACCATGCTCTGTAGATGCGGACTTGACCCTGATATCGTACCTAGTAGTAGATTGTGGCATGTTGATTCAGAGGTTACTTATAATATGTTGACCCTAAAGTGATGAGCTGCATTGCTGTTTCGATAATACAAGCGTAACTATTATTGAATGATCGGTTTTAGGAGACTTGTAGTATTAATTGTGGTGTTTTTCTTCCCCCGTCGGAGATGAATAGAGGAAACGAAACGGGTGGCGTTAGTTATTCTGCCGGGACATCGTATCCCATAAAAGAAATGTGCTCGTGTACTAACCTCTCATGACATAAATTCCCTTGATTAAAGTCCTGGGTAAGAAGCCCCTTGTGTTGTTGGTTGGGCGTTATCTTTTTAAAAGCTCTGGGTCCCGCACCTACTCAAGAGATGCCAAGTTTTCGGTTTTCCAGTTTAAAGGCCTCAAGCATGATTGTCATTTTTGTCTTTTTGGTCAATAAACATGATTTTGTCAGCAAAGAGCTTCACTGTTTGGAATTATAAGGGCCCCAGGCTAAATTGTAAGGGTCGATTTAGTCGATCTACTATCGAGATTCTATTTCAAAACCTGGGGAGTAGCGGATACAATGAAGACTGGCAGGTTCCTATCTAGGCCAAAAATAAAAAATAAAAATAGCAACAGATGAACTAATGAAGAAAGGAATCATAATTATATTGTTTCAAGGACTAGAAAATTTTGGGAAATTTATAGGGTCGTGGAATATTGCAAGACTGCTATTGAAAATGGCAAGACAAACAGTTGAGTGTATGGTTCGACGACAAACAATTCCTTGTTCTGGTTTGGTAAACAACACCACATTATTCGTAAACCGATGGATGATAGAATGCAATCTTAATTTGTTCAAGAGAATCGTTGCTGGTGGCTGGAGGAATATTTAAAATAGATCAAGATTTGCTTATTAGATTTTTTATATTAAATATGTTTGAGGATAATATACTCTATTAAATTATGATTTATCTTTTAATCTTTTGATGTGAGACTTTTTTTTCTATGTTATAATATTCCCCTTACTAGTGGAGGAGGGTGGACCAGCAGGAGCTGCAATCTCCTCAATTTTTTAAGAATTTTTTTTATATTATATAAGTATTATATATTTTCGGCTCCCTTAAATTTATGAAAGTATTATTGCATTTTTTTTAAATTTTGGCCTCTCTATTCTTAAATCCTGACTCAGTTCCCCCCCTTCTCTATTTTTTTCATTCTTCTTCTTTTGGCCTAGGATTTCATTTTTTTTTTCTTTTTTTGTCCTTTTTTTATCCCTAACCGAATGGCTTATGATATCATATTATATTTTTTATATTAAGTATATTTAACGATGGTATACTCTATTAAAATAACTTAACTCATTTTGCTAAATACTTTCTAAACTTATATATTTATAATCTATTTTCTAATATTTAAATGTGAGATTTTTTTTTTTTTTATGTTCTAATATTGCTGAGCCAACTGGTCAAGTTTGTATCTACCTAGCCCTTCATAAGCAATAATGGCAGTATATTGAGGCCTTGTTTGTTTTGGCGTTTTCACACACTCCAGTGCATGCAAATGCAAAGAGTTGTACAGGTTTTTGGATGGGCACGCGTTGGTGGGTGGATTAACGCTGATGCAGACACCTTCCATGAGTTTTTAAGAAAAGAAAATGCCATGTAAGAAACAATAAACTAACCCCAAATGTTCTTAAGGCCAAACAAAAGACAAACCAGATGTTCGTTGAACCAATGGCGGTGATTGACATGAAAGATGGGGAGCCAGAGAACGACCTATCTGATCATTGAGTTAGGAGAAGAATAACTTTGGCTGTTGGGAGCTTCGAAAGAATGACCAAGCGCCATAACATAACAGGAGCCCAATCACCGGGTTGAAATATTGCCCCCTTGGAATTTAAGCAGACCATTTGGTTCAAATAAAAATTCCATCCCCGTCTTACTGGCTTTCGACCTCAATGAAAATGATTTTTGCCATAAATATTGACACGTCATGCTTTCTTGGTTTTTCTTTTTTCTTCCATTTGGGAATTCCGCTTGGTTTCTGCTATGGTGGTAATAGGAGTTTTATTAATGGATTCATCTGGTTATCAAAATTGCCGGCTCAAGTCAAAATCTTTTGGACATCCTTGTGATACCCACAGTGGGGGTTTAAGCTGCCCTTGCAAATATTTTGGCGTTTGCTAACTCAAAAAAAGTTATTACTGGTTTACAAATGCTGTAAAGAAACGCCATATTAAAGTCAACCCTTTTTCTTTTTAGAAAAAATATTATTAGAGTTATTTCTGGCAAACAAAGAATGACTCCTTAGAGCTCTCATTTGAGACCACTGACAGACGCTCTGTTTTCGAATTTTAATCGCCATTATAAATATTTTTACTGTATTTTCAAATTAGTTAAGGACCTTTTTTGGGAATAGTTATCTCTACAATGCTATCAATCTGCCCATTTTTTCACTGTAGATATGGACAGTTAGATTTGTAATGAGTGGTTTGGGTTTAATATTTTATATAAACAACATTGTCAAAATGTTAAAAAAAAAAAAGTTGACTTTTAAACACTAAGAATAAATATTACAGCTTAAATTAAGTGAGGAGACTGAAAGAAAATACAGAGAAGAGGAACCGCTCGTATATCTTGCATGCAGTTTTTGAAATACATTTTGCAATATTTTGGCAATAAAAAGGGCTACGCTGGCCCAATTACAATGCAAGATTAAATACTGCATGAGGATTGAATGGAGCCGGTAATTTAAGTATGACGGATTTATTCAGATCAGGCTTAAAATATTTTATTTTTTAAAAAAACTTATATAATTAAGCCCGATCCTAACCTTTTTTTAGTTGGATTCAGATTGACTCATCAAGTTTGGCCAAAATTATCAATTATACATATATAAAAAGCTAATAACTCCAACGATGAGGTTCATTTTAGACTAAACTTATTTGAATCATGTTTAAAGTATTATATCCTTTTTAAAAAGATCATATAATTAAACTCATCCCTAACTTTTTTCAAGCAGATTCGGATTGACCTGAATTACTAGATCTAGGATTGAGATCTCATAATCTCCCTATGTACGGTGCCCTTTAAGAAGTGAGGGACAAAACCATAAACTTTGTTTTTTTGGCAGGCATTTTTTATTTTTTTGGGTACTAAAGAGGGGAAAGCCCTGAGAGTCTAGAAAATTACAATAGAAGGCGATTGGGATTCCAGTACATCAGAGAAGACTAAACTCCTAACAAAAGTAAGAGCTACTTCAAAAAGAGAGGAATAAGATAATCCTTCCTTAGCAAGCTTGTCTGCAATTTGATCTTGCTCTATTGCAACATATTGCAATCTGACATTCCAGTTCCATTCCTGGCAAGCATTTTGTTTGTAAGAGTAGAGGAATGTGGTGGACATTGGAAGAAAGGGTCAAAGTGGACTTGGTCCGCTGCATATTCTGGAAGCCCATGTATAACCAATGCATGTAATGAGTGAATTTTATTCCCCCTATATTGATTTAATTAGCCTGCAATCTAAGTGCGGTTTTAATATGACGAGCATGCGCGGCAAGGCAATCAAACATTAACATTAATCTCAATATATAAAAAATCATACTACTATTTACAAGCCACAGGTACTATAATCATTTTTACATTGAAAATTATAATATATGTTGTGAGACCAAATAACAAATAAGGTTAATTATTCATGGGGACTCCAGATTTCTGAAATTATTCATAAGAAGCTCGGTCAAATTAAAAGATGCAGAAAGTATGCTAATGCAAGTTTTTTTCAATGTTTAATAGCCATATGAAGATTAGAAAACTTAAAAAGTGTTACTCCAAAATTTAACCCTCAGGTTTAGAATGTCTCATTAATTCAACGAACTTATATTTTTTCTAATAAAATTTAACACTAAAAAAAACTGAGAAGTGCAATTTTCAAATTTTATTCTCAATATAATTTTAAGATGGCTCGTCGGCCAACAACTTACATAAAATGTTTTTTAAAAAATAATTAATATAATAAAATATAAATCAGTCAATATTTATTTTTATTTCTGTATTCCTTAAATGGGGGAGAAAGAATAGACAGTCAAATCATAAAGGTAAATTAATAATTTTCAATTTTTCAATATAATTACAAGTAAAAAATGATGTATTTTAGAATCTTTGACCGAATATTATTAATAAATATTTATTTTTAAAATCATGTGTTTTATACTTTGTTGCCTTTACGTGGCTTCCAACAATTTTCTATATATGTTTTCCAACAAGTGGTATCAAAAGCTATTTTTCCTGTATTCACATAATTCAAACATATTTAAAAATTTATATATTTTAAAAGGGACCAATATTCTGAAATGCCAAGGGTTTGGCAACATACCCTCAATAGTCATAGAAGTATCAGAGGAGACAGGGAAAGAAAACAAACTAAACATGAAAATAGAGCTAGCCAAAGCTATGATTTACACATGAGAAAGGGAACTACGTGTTAACACATACAAAACTTGGTGTCCGGCTTCTAAATTAGTAAATTAAGCTTCAAAAAGGCTAGCAAAAACTATCAAAAAGTTCTCATTAAACCCTGGATACATAATGTTAGCGATGTATGTGGCAGATTCAAGAGTAAAGAATCCAGGTTTGAGAGGGGAAAAAAGCACTAACAAACGATTACAAGAAATAAACAAATATTAATTAAACTGCATCTTAACAATTATGACTTGCACTCAAGTCTAATTCATCGTAGGTTCAAGCAAACGATCGGATGAAAACCCTCTACGTGGCAGATTCAAGTCAATAATCCAAGCTTGAGAGGGAAGTAAAGTAGTAACAAACAATTACAAAAAACA